GGGATTACTTTATCTATAGAAAACCCCACGAGGGTTAAGACCCCAGCCCTCCTCCTTCAGAAAACGTGCTTATTCTCTCCCCCTCTCTTTTTTTTTGTTCTGGGACCTGGTAATTATATGCTTAGAGATGAAGGCTTTTCAAAAACATCTTTCCAACCAATTTTCAGCTGGAAACATGCATAAAAAAACAGAGATATTTTTATCCGCATTTTTTTTTCCATCTCCTCCTTCCAGCAATGGGCAATTATGAGCTTTTGCCTTCAGTCAATTCGTCCTGTAAGAACTCGCTTCAGACGGAAATTCATTTCCGTGGTGATGCCAGCAGTCCCCTGGCAAATGCGGGGTAGAAGCAGGAGAGAGAAAGACGGTCTGTACACCTAGCACCTGGCCCCAAGCTGAGGCTAGGGAAGGTGGGTGGGTTCCTTTTTTACTTTATTTCTTTTGCAACGGTTGCTAATTTGCCTTCATTATCTCCATCTCCCCACGGCCCCAGGGAGCTACTGAGCTTTGACAAAGGGGAAAGGAAGTCAGCCCCTTGCCAGGCTGCCTTGGCATAGGCCCGCTTAAGTGGAGTGGCAGGAATGGGCTAGGGCTGGGCGGGGCTGTAAACACTGCGTGACTGACGCCTGGTTCCGGGGCCTCCAGGAGGAAGCATTCAGCATCCGGGAGTGGCCACTGGAAAACAAATGTCCAGAGGCCAGAGTTGGGACAGACAAGAAGTGACTGCGGTGACGGTGAGCCCCCACCACCCCCCCGTGCCAGTGAGGAAAAGGGCCCCCCAATGGCTGTCCTGTGGCCCAACCTTCACAACTGCACATGGTGGCCCTGGCCATCGGCAACTGCTTCCAAGCCTGACTTGACTGCCCCCACTGACAGGCTGCTTGCTACCCAGAAGGCATGGTTGGTGGGGTGGAAGAGAAGGGTGAACCAGGAGGCCAACTTTGGGTTCTGATTCTAAATCTGCTGCTGACTGGCTAGGAGACCTGGGCCAAGTCACTTCTCTCCAAGACACAGGTTTCTCCTCTGCAAAATGAGGGTACTAGTGCCTATCTCAGAGTCCTGGGTGGCACAAATGGTTAAGCACTCGACTAGTAGCCTGTCAAAAAGAAAAATTAATAACCGACATCTTACTTTGATTTTGAGGTTTTCTTACCCATGAAACCAAAAATACACTGTAAAGTAATTCCTAACCAAAATTAATCCTGCCAGGGGCTTTTCTTTTACCCAAAGTTGCTAATCTTTTCTTTCCAGTTGAAAGCCAGGTTTACTAAATTTGAATTTCAGAAGGTATAGCTGGTAAAGCCACTGGCCCAGGGTCATTTAGCTGGTGAGCTGCAGAGCAAAAACTGGAACTCCGGTCTTCCTGATTCCCAACAAACCACATCCTCAGCCCTTGGCTCTGTTCTCTCCCTCTGAACGGGACCAGAAAACCAAACCAGGTGCTGTTCAATCAACTCTGACTCTTGGTGACCCCCTGCGCATCAGAGCCAAACTGTGCTCCTTAGGGTCTTCAATGGCTGATTTTCAGAAGTAGATCCACAGGCATTTCTTCCAAGGTGCCTCTGGGTGGGCTCAAACCTTCAAACTTTTGGTTAGCAGCCAAGTATGTTAACCGTCTGAATAGGACAACAGACCCCAAATGACAGGCAGCTGGGCATTGGGAAGACAGTGTGGCACTGGAGGAGGCCCTGCGTTCGGGCTCAGGGATCCATAGGCACATCAGGGCCACCAAGAGCTGCCGCACGACAAGGTGCCCCATGACCACCTTTCCATGTCTGTGTGTAGACCTTGGGTGTCAGGCCCTCCTGACCCAGTTACGGCCGCAGACCCTGCCCAGCCGAGTCATGAGCTACATTCTAGCCAATGCCCACCTCCATGGGGCGATGGTGGCCCAGACACCATATGGGGTGCAACACAGGCTCAAGTTGGGGCTCAGCCTTTTGCATTCTGGGTCTGTGGACCCTGATCTCCACCCTCACTCTGAAATCAGCACTATGAGACAAAATGATTTTACTTCCCGACAGTAGCTGCCTGGAGCAGTGAAGACTCAATTCATCCCATTGAGAGCAAAAACGAAAGTTCTCACCACCGCTGACAAGGCCTTATGTGATCTGTCCCTGGGCCTCTCTGGCCTGTCTCCTAACACTCTCCCCTTCCCTCACTCCAGTCGAGCTGCAAGCTGCACCAGTCTCATCACTTCTGCATACCAGACACAGGCCCACTCACCTCAAGGCCTTTGCACTGGCTGCTCCCTCTGTCGGGAACATTCTTCCCAGACATCCACAGACTTCTTCCCTCACCTCTTTCAAGAACTTGCAGAAATGTCACCTTCTCAGCGAGGACTACCCCAACCAGCCCATTTAAACTTATCACTTCACCCTTGCCCCTTCTGCACCACCTATCACGCCCCTTCTCTGCTTTATTTTTCTTCTTAGCACTCAACACCATCTTATTACTGTCTAATTTATCTTATTGATTTTCTGCCTCCATCCATTAGGATGTCTGGTCCAGGAGGGCAGGGCTCTTGTCTGTCTGTCCATTGCTGTGTCTGCAGTACTGAGAACACTGCTTGGCACCTAGTAGGTGCTCAGTGAAAAATTGATTAATTCAACTCCCATTTACAGCTTAGGAGGGGAAGTGAGTTGCTCAAGGTCAGATAACCAGTAAGAGGCAGAGCCAGGATGCAACTCCAGGCCTCGCTGGCTCCAGGCCCTGGCTGCTATCCCCTGAGTGTGTGATGACTGTAGTGTGAGGCCCCTGGCTTTCTCCTATGGCCCCAGCTCCTGCTTCATGGAGGTCAGGCCTTCCCAAGGGATTCCAGGGGCCGAGCGCTGATTTTAGCCAGGGCTTGCTGGGAGGAGTGAGCAGCCCAGGCCACAGCAGAAGGATCCCATCCCCCACCCTGCCTGAGCCTCCTCAGGCCCCACTGGTCAGGAAGAGCTCACTCAGGTCCTGGGAACAAAGGCATCTTTATGGCCAATGAGTCAGAGGACATCTCCCATCCTTGAGGCGGGAAAGTGAACACCAGTGAGGGGCTTCCTGCCAAAATCCGTGAGCAGGCCTCCCACACACCCCGGCCAATCAGAGACAGGTCACTATCCCTCCCTGCAAGGGGCTCCGGGGTAAGCAGTGGGGCAAACAAGGCTCCCAGGAGTGAGACCAGACATGGCCAGGGTAGGGGCCTGAAAAAGGACTCATACAGGTGGGAGTTGTCTGGGGCAGAAAAAGAGCACAGACCTTCTGTGAGTTGTCTGACTCTTTAGGCCTCAGTTTTCTTCTCTGCAAAATGCGGAGGGTGTGTATAGTGGCCACCTGTTGGCTACCCTTGTTCCCCAGCTCCAGGCAAGGCCACATGACCAGGCCTGGCCAATTAGATACCCAGCGATTAGTTCAGAGATGGGCATGTGATCCAAGCTGGGCCAATGAGAGCTGGCCCTGGGACTTATGCTGGAATGATGGAGAAACAGGTACCCTTTCCTTAGGGGTGACTAAGCTGGTTGATGCTAAGCTTGGAGGTGCCCTCTGGAAATGTGGTACCTGCCTGGAAATGAAGGTAACATAAAGAGAAGCAAAACAAAGGATGGAGAGACCTCAGTCCTAATGATGTTAATTGAGCACCTGGATCCCTCAGTGCCTGAAGCCCCATCTTTTGACTTTTCTAAAAAGGAGCCTCTGTGTTGACTTCAACTGAGGCAGGTGTGATAGTGAGGTTCTGCAACCTGGGGAGGAAACCGAAGTGGGGCCACAGCGGTAAGGATGAGGGTCAAGCAAGTCATCAGGAAGAGAAAAAGCCAGCGAGGTCAAGAAGAGCCATGAATGCCAGGATAAGGGCTGTGATCGCATTTGAGTTTAAGCGAGCTCCCTCCAATGGCAGCATGGGGGGTGGAGGCCAGAAGGCCAGAGAGGAGACTGGTGATAAGGAGCATCCAGGCAGGTGATGCTGAGGCCTGAGCTGAGGTAGAGGCCACAGGTCCAAGAGGAGGGGCAGGCATTTCCCTGGCAGTGCCCCAGTTAAGGTCTCCAGGGTACTGCTGCCCTGTGGCTCTGCTGTAGGATAAGGCAACCCCACTCACCTGGGCCTTGGACTCCAAATGCCAGGCCAGGAAGGTAGTTGCCAAGAGTGGGGCAGATCACATGGGTTTAAGTCTCAGCTTCACTGCTTCTACCTGTATAACCTTGGACAAGTTACTTAGCAGCTCTGTGCCTCAGTTTCCCCACCTGTAAAATGGGGTAAACAACAGTACTCAACTCACAGAATTGTTTGAGGATTAAATGAGGTAACGCATGGGAAGATTTGAGAACACAGTAAGAATCTCAACACCTGTCAGATATTACTATTAGCATTATTATTATCTGGGGGCCTAAGGTGAGACCTGGGGGGTGACCCGGTCTCTGCTCCTTGCTGTGGGTGGGGAGGTAGGATCCAAAGTTCACTGTTAAAGTTATCTGGGTTTACATCCTGGCTCAGCCACTGCATCGTAGCTCTGGGGCATTGGGCAATCCACCTCCAATCTCTGAGCCTCAGTTTCCTCATCTGTCCAGTGGGACCATAGTCCCTACTCTCAGAGCTGCTGTGAGGAGACAGTATCAAGAGGGTATCAAGAGAGAGGCACATGGGAAAGAAGCTCAGAGCAGAATGTGAGTGTGACATTGTCCCTGCTCCTGACAAGCTCCCTGTAGGCGAAAGGAGAGAGGACTGCCCAGCAGGCTGAGGCTGGAGAAGGGAGAAAATGTAGATGCTGACAGACTAGGATGGAGCAGCCTTGGAAACCCTCCCCTCCCCGGAGGTCCCAGCCTTGGCCCCCCCCAGGCATGTGGGGAGCGGTGCCTACATTCCCAGAGCTCCTGGGAGCTCACCCATGCGCCCCGATGCCGGGGTTCAGCCTCTTGCCAGTGCAGGAGCTCCCTTCACACCACTTTGACCTGGGCTTTGGGGCGGGGAGCTCACTCCTATCCCACAGCCTGGGCTCTTCCTAAGACTGGCCACCGCCCTCACTCACACGGAGCTGGGACCTGACTCCTGAGGCGCCCTGCAGGGCTGGGCGCTGCCCTCAGAGCCTCCAGACCTGCCCGCTCCCTCTGCTGCGGGAAAGCTCTGTAGAGACGCTCCCCTTGCTGCGGGGCAGGGCGGCAGCCAGGATCAGACCTCCAAAAAGGCAGCCCTCTCACCTGCCCGCCCCTGCCAGGTTTCCCAGCCCAGCATTCTCCCCAAGTCCTGGGTCTCTGGGGAGTGAAAGTCCCCTCTCTCTGGGCAGCAGCTCTAGAGGGACAGGGGGTTCAGCCCATCACCCTGCCTTCGGGTCCCCATTACTCACCACCCTCTCCAGGGGTCTCCCGGCTGAGCCCACACAGCATGTCTGCTACTGTCTCTCCTGCTGCCCACTGGACTCCCTTGGAGCCACACTGCTTGGCCCCTCCCTCCCCCTCTCCAGGGAGGCGCAGGGAGGGAAGCTCATAGCTCCCACTGGCTGGGCATGAAGTCCATCCACTGCAGCGGGTGGCTCCTCCCTTAAAGGGGACACAGCTGTCCTGGTGGCTGGCTCCAGGATGGGGTCCAACACCCCCACCCCCGCAGCCTGAGCCTGGGCAGAAGGGAGAGGCTTTGAAGACTGCATGCCTGGGGCCTCCCACAGAACGGACATAGCAGACATAGCCCTGCAGGAGGCAGGACACCTGGGTGCCAGGTCCAGTTCTGTTCCTAACTTGCCCTGGGACTTTGGTAAGTGATTGCCCTCTCCTGGCCTCAGTTTCACTTCCTGGAAAAGGGTAGCAGTGCCTTCTAAACTTTATTTATTTAAAGCAACAGATTACAACAGACTCCCAGATGTAACAGACTGAGATGCAAAGCCTCTCAATTTAGAAGCTCCTGCGCTCAGAACCCCTGGGACCCTTCTACTGATGTTGGCAACAGCCGGCCCCGCCTGGCCTCAGTTTCCTCTTCTATAAAGTGGGGACTGGGGAAGGAGCGCCCTGAGCTTCCACCCAGGTTTTAGTGAAGACCGAGAGAAGGAGCTGGGCTCAGGCTCTGCCTGCTCTGGGCTTGATGGGCAGGGGCAGCTGGTCAGAGGCTCCAGCCACAGCTGGCAGGCTGTCCCCTCCCCACCCCAGCTGACCCTCAGTCTTGCACACTCCTAGGATTCCTCCATGTCATCCCAGACTGACTGAACTGAGCCAGTCGGGCACCCAGAGCCCCTCCTCCAGCTGCCCACGCACAAGAAGGGGAGGACAGCTGGATCCAGCTGCTCCCGCTCTCCATCCTACCAATGTGTGTTGGCACCACCTGAGTGCCAGATACTGTGCAGGTGCTGGGAAGATCATGGGGGACAGTGACATGGGGGCATTGAGCGGTAGGCAGGGACTCAGTGTCAATACCCCATATAACTACATGGTTTGTCCAGCTGAACGCAGCATAGGATGAGACAAATGCAGTGCCGGCTCCCATGGAGCTCTGGGCCTTCTGGGAATAAGCAGGGCTCCAATCTGCTGTGTGTCCTGCAGGGAGAGGGAGAGTGCAGCCCGGTTGTTAGGGCCCCAGGGACTTCCTCTGGGGTCCCTCCCGAGCAGGGATCCCACCATGGCAGTCAGCCCACAATACCCAGGCCACCCATGCTGGCTCCTGCCAGCTCAGTCAACACTGATGGCACCTTCAGAACAACCCTGGTTCTAAATCCAGGCTCTGGGCCACTTGTACCCCTGCATCCGCAAGCTCGAGCTCCTCCCTTGCTGCCCACTTCCCAAGGTTGCCTTCCTCTTTGAATGACTTTAGGTATGTCCCAAGCACAGGGTCCAGGTACCAGCTCAGGGTGCAGGCAGGGTTCACCAGCGCCAGCAGTGAGGGCAAAGGTCAAAGAGAGACTTCAGGGCCTCAGCCCTGGGTGGGGTGGTGTCTGGTAGTAGCAGGAGGACCGGAAATGGGTGGGCATTTGCTGGAAGAATCGGATCAGCAGGGAAAGGGCTGCAGGCTGGTCAGGGAGGGCCTTGTGAGTAACAGCCTGACCATTGCTAGGGCACCAGGGGCCACTTTGGGGCAGTCCCAGCTCCAAGCTGGCGGGACGGGCCATGGCCCTTCTCAGAGTGAGCTGCTCTAATAGATCCTCACCCACAGCCCGCCTCTTTTCTCACGTTTACAGCCTCTTCAGGGAGGAGGGAAAGCATGGCACACAGACCTTGGGAGTTACATCTGTCCCTTCTTTTAAGAAAATATTTGCTTGTTATACAAGTGCATTTAAATGACTGATTACGACTGGCAATTGGAAACCTTGCCACGTCTCTGTCTCTCTCACTGCTTTTTTGCAATTTACTTTTGTGGACGAGGAACTCCTGGAAAGGTCATTCTGTGGGTTGCAGGGGAGCTTTCACCCAGCATTTCTCTGCATGCCTGTTGTGCCAGGCGCTTGGGACCCAGAAATGAGGAGACAGATGGGAAAATGAGCCTTCTTTTAGCTTCTGTTCCCATCACCCTGTTGAGTCCATTTTAACTTAGTTTTATTAAAGTGTATGTTTGGAAGCAATATTTGTTCATTTTGAAACAAAGAAGCTTATTCTAAATAATGCAGCACAGAGAGGTTAGGTAACTTGCCCAGGGTCACCCAACAGGTAAGGGGTGGAGCCAGGTTCACACCCAGGTGGTCTGCGCCAGCATCCCTGTTCTTAACTGCCACGGCTCTGTGGCCTCTCAGTACTGCAGGCATACACTAAAGGGCAGATCAGGGGGTCTGAGAGGGCAGATCAGGGGGTCTGAGACTGCAGATGAGGGCACGTTTAGCTCTGTCTGGAGATCTACCCAGGAGGCTTTTTTCAGCCTGACTTTGGAGGATGGGAAGGAATTTGTCAAAGAAAGGGAAAGACATTCCAGATGGAGAGTCTGAGGAAGAAATCCCAGGTGACTAGTGAGAAGGAGTGTGGGAGGAGCCGGACCATGAAGCATCTGCTAGGATCTCGTTCCTCCAAGTGTGAAGTGTGGTCCATGTACCAGCAGTATCGACATCACCTGGAGCCTGTCAGAAATGCAGACTCTCAGGCCCCACCCCAGACCGGCTGGGTCAGAACCTGCATTTTAACAAAGCCCCCAGGTGACTCGTATAAAGTTTGAGAAGCACTGTAGTAAGGAGTTTGGCTTTCATCCTGCAGGCAGCAGGGAGCCATGGATGGTTGTAGAGCAAGAGGGTGAGAAGGCTTTGCCAGTACCTCAGGCATGGAGAGCCAGCTTCGAGGAGCAGGGAGGAGGATTTCTGCTTTGGAGGTAGCCTGGGAGAGCAATGAGGGCCCCTTCTGGGAGCTGGAAGCAAGCAAAGCTGCCGCTCGGCCCAGGTCCAAAGATGACCCTCTTGTCCAATGTTGCCAACCTCAGAGAAGCAGAGGAAAAGGGGGACAGATTGCTGGGCGTGCGCGGTGTCTGGAAGCCAGGTCTGCCAGACACTCAGGTGCCAGTGGCTCCGGTGACAGCATCTGACTGCTGCACACTCTGCACACCGCGATGGCACGTGAGGGGAATTAGGTGGCCTGGGGGAGATGGCAGGGCTCCTGAGCTGGCGGGGCAGCCCCTCCATCGTCAGGAGAGGCCCTGATACCTCTGCGTCCCCAGTTATGCCTCTGAGCTCGATCCTTGGGTTTGGACCATGCTGGAGGTTCTGTGAGACAATTGGGCCTGGAGGCAGGCAGACCCAAGGATGGATTCCAGCCCAGTTATTTACAGGCTGTGTGACTGGGGCATGTGCCCCAAACGCCTGCACCTCAGCTTTCTCAGCTATAGAATGGGAATAATAAAAGGCACTCACCCGCAAGGCTGGGGAGACCACGTGTTAACAAGTCAGAAAGTGTTTATCCATTCACTTTCCTGCCAAGAGTCTCATGCCAGCACTGAGAAACAGGCTGGAGAGGCAGAACTTCAGGGTGGCTGGGCACACAGGCCTTGGAATCAGATACACCCAGGTTCGAATTCCACCAGCTGTGTGACTCTGGGCAAGTTGCTTCTCTCTGAGCCTCTGTTTCCCAGTCTGTGAGGAATGAGGGGCAGAGACCTTGGAAGGGCCTTGCAAAGTGGCCCCTTCCCAAGTCGCTTAACAGGAAATATTAGCACTGTTGTTGGGATAATTCCTTGGTATACAAGGCTGTCTCTCATACTGCAGGACTCCTAGCACCGCTGGCCCCCTCCCACTAAATGCTTGTGGTGGCCTGAGTCCTTGAGATAACCCAATATATTCCCCACCTCGCTGGGGGCAGCAACCATCACAATTGAGAACCAACCACGCTGTACAGATGAGAAAACGGAGGGAGAAGGAACCATGTGAAGACACATCCCCAGGCAGCAAAGGAATGCCAAGGATTGCTGACAGCCTCCAGAAGCTAGGAGACAAGCATGGAACAGTTCCCCTCTCAAAGCTCTCAGAAGAAATGAGCACAGCCTAAACCCTGGTGGGGTAGTGGTTAAGTGCTATGGCTGCTAACCAAAGGGTCACAGTTTGAATCCACCAGGCGCTCCTTGGAAAGTCTATGGGGCAGTTCTACTCTGTCCTATAGGGTCTTATGAGTTGGAGTCGACTCCACGGCAATGGGTGTGGTTTGTTTTTTTTTAATACCCTGATTGGGATTTCCAGCTTCCAGAACTGTGAGAAAATAAATTTCTGTTCTTCAAAGCCACCCTCTGAGATTAAAAATGGGAGCAATGGTGGTTAAGAGGCAGAATTCTCGCCTTCAGTGCAGGTGACCTGGGTTCCCAGCCAATGCACCTCATGCACAGTCACCACCCATCTGTCAGTGGAGGCTTTCATGTTGCTGTGATGCTGAACAGGTTTTAACAGAGCTTCCAGACTAAGGTGGACTAGGAAGAAAGCCCTGGCAATCTACTTCCAAAAATAAGCCAGTGAAAACCCTATGGATCACAACGGTTCAATCCGAAACCAATCATGGGGATGGTGCAGGACTGGACAGCATTTTGTTCCATTGTGCATGGGGTCGCCATGAGTTGGGGGATCGACTTGACCGCAGCTAACAGCAGCAGGAGACTAAGACAGAGTTTGGGACATGGGAAAACAGATACCTGGAGAGGGCCTGTTCTCAGGTCTCCGTCAGCACAGAGCAGGGGCCTGGACCCAGGCTTCTATCCCGCCTCTCAGGCCCAGGGCTGAGTCTATCATAATTATGGGCAAGCCGTGTCCTGAGCCCACTGGGGACCTTGACTGACAGCCGGAAATGAAGTCTGGGCAGGAGGGAAGCAGAGATGGCAAGATGGGAGGCAGAGAAGGAAAAGAGATAACTCTTTATTGCTGTGGGCTGTCAGTTGTTGCTACCTCCCTCCTTCCCTCCTCACTACCACCCCAAGGGCCATGCCAGGACAGTCGCTCCTCTCTGTTCCCCTCAGACCCTGCATGCTATTGCTAGACATTTCTACCAGGTGCGTATTATTGTCCCCGTTATACAGAAGGGGAAACTGAGGCTCAGTCTGTGGTTCCACCAGCCACAAGGGAGGGGCATTCAGTGACTCCTCTTGGAGAGGGCTGTTAGGTTGTGGCCCCCACTCTGGCCACTTAGCTACAATGCCCACATCTCCCCCCAACCATGGCCCCTCACCTGACTTTAGTGTAGGTTGGGTAGAGCTTCATGGGTAATGCCCCACCAGTGGGCCACTTCCAGGCTGCAGGATCCATATCAACAGGGAGCGGAGGATACAGGCAAGGTCAATGGTGAAGGGGGACTCAGGCAGCTGTGACAGCAAAGCATGACAGGCCCGGTGTGGAGCGATCAGGAGAGAGGAAGGTCCCAGGGCGTAGGAACCACAGCTAACATTAAAAAAAAAAAAAAAAAAACCCACTGCCATCGAGTCGATTCCGACTCATAGCAACCCTATAGGACAGAGTAGAACTGCCCCATAGAGTTTCTGAGGAGCGGCTGATGGATTCGGGCTGCTGACCTTGTGGTTAGCAGCCTAGCTCTTAACTACTGTGCCACCAGAGCAATGTGCCAGGCCTCATCCTGAGCGTCTTACACATATAGTGTTTCTCTCATTTCAACCCCATGACGCCTCACTTCAAGAGATGAGCAAACTAGGGCCCAGAGAGGTGAAGCCACATGCTCTTGGTCACACAGAGCGTAAGGAGTGAGCTGGGATTTGAACCCAGGCCCATCTGATGCCATCTACATGGCTTGCCCATGGTTATAACAAACTCAGCCCTGGGCCTACCAGGAAGGACAGAAGCCCGGGCCCAGGCCCCACCCAGAGCCCCCTGAGAAGGGCACCCAGGGGAGTGCTTTCACCAGCACACGGGGGTGCACACGACACAGAAAGCCAGATGCTGTTGGAAGAATAGACCCACATGTTCAGCTGAGTGGGGCCCTCAGCTGCTGCTCCTGGGGGCTTCTGGGAATCCCTGACTGTGAGGGGCCACCAGCCCAGGGACCTGGCCACCAATAGGGGCAGCTCCTTGGGGATCCCTCTTGGGAGAGAAAGCATTGAATAGTGGCATTCCAGGCACAGTGGCAGGGCATGTGGTCACACTTAGGGAGGGACGGGCTTTCCGGAGCCCCTCCAATGAGGTGATGGGGCGCAGAGGGCACAGCCAGCCCGTCAGAAGCAGCTGGAGCCACCACACACCGGAGTTTAGTCAGAGGGACTCCCACTGGTGGCTGGATAATGAAGGCAATGGCGGTGACTGCTGAACCTCTGGGAGGGGACCGGTGCAGCAGGCATCCTGCGCTGAGCTGGGAAGACCAGCCTCAGGACCAGGGGACAGATCCTGGAAGGCTAACACTGTGCCTGGAATCCCCCATTCACCCCTCTAGACCAAGGATTACCCTCTGGCCAAAAGCAAATTCCCCAGAGAAAGCGGAGAGGCCGGCGTTGATTGAGTGCCTACTGGGTTCCCAGTTCTTTATGAGCAGTGTCTTGTGGGATGGTTCAAGAGCACTGTCAATGGGGATGGTTGCTCCCGTGTTCAGAGTCCCAGAGATGGAAAGGTAGTTGGCCAAGGTGCCAGCTAGGATGCGGCGAGGCTCAGGACCGTCGGAGTCAGGTCTGTGGCCACAGAGCCAAGCTTCCCTCAGTTCTTAGAAGGCATCAGACTTTTCCCTCTTCTGGTCCTCTGCACAAGCTCTTTCCTCTTCCAGGTACACTCTTCCCCCTTCCATCCTTACAGTGGACCTAAATGCTGCCACCGCTGAGCAGCCCACCCTGACCACACCAGCTCAGTCCCCCTTTACCCTCTCCCTGCCTGTCCTCCACGTGTTTGCTCACCTGTCCTTGTTCATCCTTCCACTGAGTGTGGGACCTTCGACTGTCCTGCTCACTGATTTAAGCCCAGTACCCAGGGCAGAGCCTTGCATGCAGTAATAAACGTTTGTTGAATGAATGAGAAATAAATGGATGAATATACATAATCTCTGAATTGCTCCACTGGAAAGAAATCACTAACTCAATCTCCTCTAGCACCTCAATCCAATACAGAAATCCCTTCTGCTGTCTAGTCCCTACTTGTACACCTCCACAGACAGGGAGCTCAATACCCCGTGAGCGCCCACTCTATTCCTAAACAGTCGTGAGACTCCCCCCGACCCTTATCCTGAGTTGGAGCCTGCTTCCCGGTGACTCCTCCAGCTCCAGCTCGGCCCGCTGGACCCCTCGTCCCAGGACCCCCCTGCATGGACTCAGGGGCCGTGGCTGAGCCTGCATCATATCTTCTGAACCCTGGCAGGAGAGGCCACAGCTCAGGGTCTGGATGAGGCTTCAGCGGGGACCCCGCGGCTCCTCTTACTTCCCGGGAGCCTGCTCCTCTGTGGGCCTAGGGCTACCTCCTTGGGAGTTCCCCCGACCAGAGAGGACAAACTGTTCCTGCCCAAGCCACAGCCCACACATCACTAGCATCTCCACACCAGGTAAGACATCCTCTAGGCCCAGCGCCTGGTCATACAAGTGAGGAAACGAGGCTCGAGAGAGAGTGCAGGAGCACAAGCCGTATGACAATCCAGGCCAGCCTTTGCCCAGCCCCCTACAGACCATAGAGTGCTTTCACCTCCCGCTTAATCACCTCCTCTTCACACATGGGCGAGACTGAGGAACCCAGGTCTCTGGTCCCGAAGCCTTAATGGCAGTTTAACACATACACTTTCTCCAAAGGGCTCTGTGGATGTGAGATATCCTCATCTTATTCTGTGCTGTCCTGGTGAACTTAAATACTAAGAGAACCCTGGAACTGTGGACTAACAGCGGAACTCCCAGCAGAGTGATCACACAGGGACTCCACATGGCCCGGGCAGAGGGCCCCACACTGGTGGAGGTGTGGCGTGCAGCCCTGCGAGGTTTGGAGTGGGCCCTGGCGGAGACTGTTTCTTTGAGGACAGGGCTTGGCCCTGAGATTTCCAGGCCAGGGCCCGCAGCCTGACAGCTGAGGCATCTGGCATTCAACGGCCCCTCAGAGGGGTTTAGGCAGAATCATTGAGAGGTTGCCAATGGTGTCCACAGCCGACCTCAGCTGTCTCCATCCTCCTCTCTTGTCGCTTTCCGGCACCAAACATGCAGAGCCTTTTCCCACCTCTGAGCCTCTGTACCCCTGGGCCCCAGGAATGCCCTTGTCAGCCTGTCTAAATCCTGTAGGTCCATCAAGATTGCTCCATTGTCCCTGCCCCCAGGAAGCCTTCCCTGACCCTCCCTACCCCCCTCTGGCTGGTCGGTACCTCATCTGGGTCCCCAAAGGTCTCAGGCACCCCTCAGTCTCACTGTTTGTCAACTTACTGAACATCTCACCCATCTACCTCCATCTGAGCCTGACACCAAAGTGGTGATGAACACACGAGGAATATTCTAGTCTGCCCCTCCTGGTCTGTCAGCTCCCCCCATGCCCAGCAGTGGGGACTTAGAGGGGCACTGGATTCAAGTCCTGGCTCCATCTCTGACTGGCTGGGTGACGTTGAACAAAACTGGCCTCAATCTTCCCATGTGTAAAATGGGGGTGCATATGTGGGCTCAGGTAGGAGTAGGGCCTGTGGCCTTCAGGGGCTGCTTCAACTCCTGGTTGACCAGCCTTGGACCATCTCACCTTGGTCCCCAGCTTGGGCTCCAAATGACAACAAACCTTCCTCTACAGACGCCTTCTGCAAACGTGGCACTGAGACTCAGCGAGGGACAAGGACCTTGCCCAAGGTCACCCACAGGGTCCAAATGCACTCTGGCTGCGTGGCTGTTAGAAGCTACCAGGTGTGGCCCTCTCTTGTCCGCCCACCTGCCCACCACATCTGCTTATGAGTCACGGTTGCCTCGGCCAAAACAGCCATGCGGGGGCTGGAGAGACAAGGTCAGACCAAGGGGAGTGTGTGGGTAGATGAAGAAGCTGGCTCGGAAGCTTCCAGCACTGGACAGCGGGGAGGGGGGAAGGCACAGTAGGGAAACTGAGGCCTGGAGGAGCAGGGACGTGCTTGGGAACTCACAGAAAGTCGGTGGGCCTCATGTCTCCTGCCTGTCCGATTAATGTTTTTTCCACTCTGTCGGGCCATCTCCCCAGGGAGCAAGACAGGGCCAGCGGCCTTTGCAATTATCTGGACAATTAAGACAGCAGATGGCCCCACTGGATCGTACATTCCAGCTGACAAGTGGAGGTGGTGCAGGACATGAGCCGACAGGACCAGCACAGGATCGGTGGAGATGTGCTCTGCAGACATCCAGAACTGTGCTGAGATCAGGAGGGACGGCTGGGCCTGCCTGCTCTGGTCTGCTCAGACTTCCCCAATGCTGGGCTCTGCCCTGCACTCCGCTCTGCAAGAGGCACACAGACAGGCTGGGGCATGGGCAGGGGGTGAGAGGCCCTGTCCTGTGAGAAAGGGGTGGCTCAGCCTGGAGCAGAGAAGCCGTGGAGGACCAATGGGCAGGGAGGCAAAGAGAGGGCAGAGTCCCGGGGGACCCTCTGGAAGGCAGGCTAGAGAGCCACATGTGGCGACACAACCGAGGGGGCCCATGCTCCTGATAGGGAGGCCGGATCATCTGACCTCTGAGAAAAGAGGTTGGGGCTTGGAAGTCAGAAGGCCTGGGGTGGGCTCAGGCTCCACCTCCCCTCCTAGCTGTGAGACCTTGGAAAGTCACTTCCCCTTTGAGCCACATTCTTTGACTGTAAAATGGAGCAATTTAGTGCATACCTCACAGGGATCTTGTGAGAAGGAGAAAATATATGGGAAAGACTTAGCACGGTGCCTGGCACACAGAAAGCGCTCAATAAAGGCCCAGGGAACAAAGACTAGGTCCAGTGTGATGGGTTCTGCGATTCCAGGAACAATTCTAGCCAGTGTATCCCTGGCTCCCTGTTAAAGACAGAGCTCCCAGGGTCTCTGAAACATGGTGGCTGACGGGAAATTTGGGTGCCCTAGGCAGACCCTGAAGAGAGTCAGGCCTGGGACCCCGCTGCAGCTGCTGCAGTGTAAGAGATGCCAGGAGTCGGTTGTGGAGGTGAGTGGGAGACCCAGGAGGGAACGAAGGGAAGGAGTGAATAATTCATCACAAAGCTCGGAGGACGCAAGCACAGCCCCTCCCTGGGCCCAAGTGGCCCCAACTCAGCCAGCAGGAGGGATTGTTATCCTTAATAACCTCGTTATCCTTCACTTTGCCCATCACTCCTCCAATGCAGCCACTCTCCCCACCCTGGACCAGGAGGCCAGACGATCTGCCCCCACCCAGCACCTCCCTGAGTTCTCCGCCCCCACCCTCCCCTTCACCCCTCTGCTCCAGCCTTGTCTTCCTGGTAACATGAGCATGTTCCTGTCTCAGGACCTTTGCACTGGCTGTGCCCTCTGCCAGCCACACTCTTCCTCTGGATCAACAAATGGCTTCTTCCCTCAGCTCCTTCAGTGAGGTCTTCCCTGGCCACCTGATTTAAAACTGCACCCCTCCACGCACACCCCTTCCCTCTGCTCTTTCTCCTGCAGCATTCAACCCCACAACATGTTTTCCATATGCGTCTTGCCCACTCTCTGTCACTCCTAGAATGTCAGCTCCATGAGGGTAGGAATTGTGTCTGTCTTAAAATCTGTTGTACCCTCAGGGCCTAGAACAGTACCTGGCACATAACAGTCATTCAATAAATGTTGAATGAGTGAATGCCATGGGTCATTTCTGTCCATTCTACAGCCCTTCCTCCTCCCCCCATCTCCCTCTAAGGCCCACACAGTAGCCAGTGCTCATCGGAACACCTAAAGCTGTCCTCCACTCTCCTGCTTAAGGATCATCCATGGCTCTCACGGCCCCAGGGCAGTGTCCAAGTCCCACAGCCAGCCCATCTCTTCACATTGACCATACCAAGGTCCTCCCAGCCTTTTTTTTTTTTTTGCACAAGCTATATTCCCTTTGCCTGAAGCTGCTTCCCCTCTTATCTACCTGGCAAACTCCTATTCACCTTAAATGCCCCACTCTGAGAGCCTTCACCAACCTCTCTCAAGGACAATCATTGCTTCCTTCTCCAGGCACAAACTGTACGTTGTACAAAACCCCCTCTCCTCACTGAAGCGCTGACATCATCTACCCACCATTTCCCTCCCTGGTCTGAGCCCTCTGGGTCAGGGACCGCAAGTGATCCGGGGCCCGACCTCCAGCACAGAGTGGAGGCTCAGTTAACACGGCTGATATGTGACATTGTTACCCACTGTTCAGTGAGGGCCCCTTTACTAAGACAGAGGTCTCCAGGCCGTGGAAAATTCCACTGCCTCAAGCAGCTTGCTTGGCACACCCTGTAGATTTACATTAAAATCCTGGTTCCCTTCTCCTTAACTGCTGCCCAAAACTAGAGGAAATTGGCAGAAACTGGTTCAGATGCCATGCTGACATTCAGGATAACCTCTTATCTCATTAAATATCTCATACATAGTAACTTCCCCACCTCTGGGTGGAGTTTAACCACTGTTTTCTGAATATGCGATGCATGAAGTTACATGTAAACCCTATTGTGCCTGCACAGTATGATTAAGAATGTTGTTGATGTAACTCGTATAAACTTCCTACTTGTAAACCCCTTAAAAGTAACCTTCCCCCTCGCCCTCACTGAGCAGTCTTGGTGGCAACAGCCCCAACTGTTCCTTTCCTTGCACAATGAAATAAAGGCTCCTTTCTACTGTCCCACCTAGCTTTCATTTATTGGCTGAGACGAATCACACCAAGCAGAACCTGGGGTTTCCACCCAGCAACATTACAGATGGAAGGAAAGGAATGACTGAAGACTTATCAAAAAAAGCTTGGTTCATGTGGCCTTGGGCAAGTCACTTCACTTCTCTGCACCTCAGTTTTCCCAGCTGCCAGGGTGGGGGAGGAGAGCTATCTTGCAGCCTAGGATAGGGTAGGGTTCTGAGGCTCTCACTGCTGCTTATATCTGACTTTCAGCCAATCCCTTGGCTTTCAGCCCCAGTGCTGGCAGTATCCACAGCAGCCAACCTGGAAGAGCAAGCAGGAAGGTGGGTGGGCGGCTACAGGTAACAGGCTTGCATGTGTCTGGCACACAGCCGCACAATCTGCTGCTTTGAACATGATTCCATGAATTAACCAAACCCTAGCCCTGGTACACTGCTCCTGACCACTCCAGGCCAATGTGGTTTTATTGATTTTGAATGTTTGAGGCCATCACCCCAATCAATTCTCCACTCTCGTTTCCAGATCTAAAAAAAGGCAGGGGCTACCTGCCAACAGATCTCACAAGAATAATCTCCCTAGGGCAAGGCACCTGGAGCGAGGTGGAGACAGGACATCAGGTATGCCCAGGTGGCTCGCTGGGACCCTGGGGGAAGCTACCTGCCCTCCACAGTGGTCAATCAACCCCAGGTTGAAACTGACCCCTAAGCATTTCTCCTCAGAGAAAGAACACTGGATGGAGAGTCAGGCAGACCCAGGGTTGCTGCCAGGCCTAGGGTCACAAAGCCTGGGGGGCTTAACTCCCAGCTCCAGGTACTCCTTCCCACCCCTGCTCCCTACTCTCCCCCCTCAGCCTCCAGCTGCAGCCTCCTATGCTTAGTCTGGTTTCCTCCCAGAGTGAGACCTCGGGTGCTGGAGCAAGGGCACTGGGGAGGTAGGGGGAGGAATGGGGGGAGCTTTAAACACAGGTCCAGGATAAGACTCACACACTAGGTCTCAGCAGAGACAGTCCTGCTAGGAGGCAAATCCACCCTCCAGCCACGGCCTCTGCCCTGACTCCTCACACACAGCCCCTCGCCCTATGCACACACACACACACACTCACACACCCCACACACAGTCTCACACACGCAGTGCCCCTGCCAGCTCGGCTGGACTCGGGCAGCCCCCATGTCCCAAAAAAGGAGAAAAAAGGCCGTCGGGGACATGTCACATGAGGTGGGGAACAAAGGAGTCTGGCACAGAAAAGTAGACAGAAGGAGACACAGAGAGAGAGAGGGACAGCACCAACGGAGAGGGGCAGACAAGAACAAGACAGCCAGGCACAGACAGAGGGAGAGAGACCAGGAAAAATAGGCTGGGGCAGGGAGAACCACAGAGAGAGGGAGAGACAGAGAAAAGCAGACAGAGAGACAGCAAGAGACAGAGAAAGACATGGAGAAAGATGAAGAGATAGAGCCGGAGAGACTCAGACAAAGAGATGGGGAGGCAGGGAGAGACCCAGAGAGAGATGCAGAAGGCTGCGAGCGGCTGCGGCGGAGAGACACCAGAGACACAGACGCGGAGAGCGAAGGAGACCCAGAGCCGAATATTAACAGCTGAGCAACCCAGAAAGTGCCAGGAGAGACAGAGAGAAAGGACAGAGGTGAGGTACAGCAGGGAGTGACCAGCAGCAGGGAGGGAACAAGACAGAGACCCTGGAAGCCCCTCTGAGCCCTCAGCCCTACTCCGCCCCAACCCTCGTGCCCCCGCCTCACCACACCCAGCCGCCACTTGAGCGACACAGCCAGCATCGTGGCCCTCCGCTGCGGTGTCCCCAGGCCAGGAGCCAGGACTTGGTCTGCCTGGAGCCTCCTGGGTGCTCTGTGCGGCTCTCGAGCTCCCGAGCTAACTGGCAGAGGCTGAGCGCTCCCTGCTCCGCCCTCCGAGTTGCTAAAATAGATAATCCTCCCCGGAGCAGAGCGAGTGAGCAGCGGTGGCATCCGTGGTGACAAGACCCTCCCTCCGCTGCAGTCCTGGCCTTGGGAGTGCAGCTGGGAGTGCAGCTCCAAGCAATCTAGGCCCTGCAGTAAACTCCACCCCAAGCTCTCTTCCCACCAAAGTCCTCACCTTGCCCACCCCATCTTACCTGGGAATCTAGGAATCTACCAGCTCCCCCTCCTGTTTGATGCCTCAGGCCTGTGCACACAGGGCCCTCTGCCTGGGATGCCCTTTCTCTCTGGTCTGGGTCCACTGAACTTCTCTGCTTGGAAATGTTTGCTCAGCCTCAGAGATCCCTGCCCACTACAAACCTTTGCCTGCTGGGTCTCATACTGCCTTCCATACTAGGTTGAGATTGTCTACCTGCCTGAGACGGGGAGCTCCTGAGGACAAGGACAGGGCTCACTCGTCCTGCGTCCCCAGAGGTCAGCACAGGGCTGGGCATGTGCTGGCGTCATCAGTGTAGAATGGTGAGCCCTAGACCCTGCCTCTTCCCTCTGTGCCTTCATCTGTAACATGGGGATAATAAGGAGTGAATCCACTCAGCTGGCTGGTTGGGTGGAGTCAATGCAACTGCATGTAAGAGCTCCAGGAGTTCAGCAATAATTCCATAAACGTCTCTGGCTCCCAACATAGGATGTCCCTTCCATCTCACACACTACTAGCCTCTTTTCGATCCCCAAATCCGGCCCCAGAGGTCAGCAGGACGATATAAGGCAGAGGGGTGGCGATCTGCTGAGGTCACAGAGTATGTGCCCCGGGCTCCTGGCCCCTCCCCGCCAAGGCAGCTGCTCACGCTTCCTGCATCCTTCTTCCAAGCCACTGACGCCCGTGATGGATCAGGCCTCAGGCATGAACCAGCAGTGGGGCCATACTCCAGCATCAGGGCTTCTCCACCTACAGGTGTCCTGGCATCCCCAACCACCCACAATCATCCACCTCCAGGTGTGCCCAGCACTCACCAAAGGGCAGGACCCCTAATGTGGATAAAGCGCAGGGTGATTCTGTGTGAACAGACCCATACTGGAGAAAACCCAAAACCAAACCAGTTGCCACCGAGTTGACTGTGACTCATGGTGACCCCACGTGTCAGAGTAGAATAGTGCTCCATAGGGTTTATGACCATTTAGTAGGAGATCACCAAGCCTTTCTTCCAAGGCACCTCTGGGCGGACTTGAACTTTCAACCTTCCAGTTAGTAGCTGAGCATGTTAACCATTCGGGCCACCCAGGTACTCCTGAGTGAGTCCTTTTCATTTATCCACCAGTCCTTCTGATGCCATCCAAGAGGAAGTCTCCATTTGGGTCTACTATGCCTTTAATGTCTCCCTGATGCTTGTGGCCCAAACTTTTTAACCAGGAGGGAATAGGTCCAGGTCAGCGCCTCCCTCAGGCCAGTGGGTCCCAGCCGCAGGCATCCAGGGGACACTTCTGGTAGGAATCAGGCTTGGGAGGTTCTCCTGGGGTGACTCGGCGAGACCAGAGGTTCCGTTCACCGTTATACTGACTCCAGTGGGGGACTCAGTCCCTTCATTGCTCAAGGTGCTTATGGTGGGGAGCCTCTCAGGGCTACTGGCTGAGAAAGATGTTACTTCTCCCTGAGTCTTAGTTTCCCCTTCTGAACACTAGGGACAAGAATCCGCACCTCACAGGCTGCAAGGAGGAAAGGGTTATTCTATATACGGAAGCATCTATACAATAGATGCTCAATACACACCTTCTCTCCCAACTTCTCCTCCAGGCTGCCATCAGGCTCTTTGAGAGCTGGCATCTGCATGGACCCCTGTTGGTCCTGCCTCCTGTCCCTGCTTCTGGCAGCATCACTCCCATTTTCCCTGGGAGATGCTCCTCCCTCGTCCTCAGTTTGGGTAGAGCTTTGTCCCCCAGCTCCAGGAGAGGCACTTGACCCAAAGCAGGCCAAAAAGCATACCCAACCTCTGGCCACGGTGACTGGCTCAGGAATGAGCACACGACCCAAATCTATCCAATGAGAGACTATTCTGGGACTTTGGATAAAATTACAGGAAAGGGAAACTCCTTCCACTGGGGGTGCAGAGAAGGTGGGTGTCAGTGGGCCTGCTAGCAGCTGTTGTGGTATTGAGAGAGGACAGCCTGCTTGAAAATGGAGCCAGCACAGAGGGAAACAGAGCCATTGGGGGGTGGGGGGGAGACTTATCAAATCCTGATGATGTCATCTCAGGACCTGGAACCAACTATGCCTGAAGCCAATAATATCGCTTTTCAATTACATTAGCCAGTAAACTCTCCTCCTGATAAAGCCAGTTGGGGTTGGTTTTTTGGTAACTTAAACCCAAAAGAGTCCTGACCAATCCAGTATATTCTCATCTCAGAGCCCCAGATTCTAGCACAGAGCAGGGGCTCAATAAATGCACAGTGAATGGATGAATGAATGAGAAACAGAACATGGATTCATATGCTTCCCAAACTCTGCCTTCAGCAAAGGCTTCCAAGCCCTAACTTTAGTCAAAGGGACCACCACTGGATAATGAATTCCTCCCGGCTTAGGAGCCCCACTGGGCATTGTAACCAGCAGGTCCGGCAGAGAGCCGAGTCAGCACTCACGGGCGGACCTGGAGCTCTGGTTTCTGGCCGTCTAAAGCTTGCCTCTTATGTGAGCTGCACCTGCCGGGGCCCTGTGGTCCCCAAATATGCTCAGGACTCCCTCTGACAAGATGGCCGCCCCAGGACAATGTGAGACAGCACAGCCCCATAAAGGAGATGAGACCACGGGACACATCAGCTGAGTCATTACGTGAACAGGCTGGGGGCTGTGTGGCCTGAGTTCAGGTCACAGCGGGCCACAGACTGCTGTGCAGTCTTGAGCAAGTCTCTGCCATTCTCTGGTCTCTGTTTCCTGCTGAAGGAGAAGGGGGTGTACTCTCTGGTCCTTCCTGGGGACACCACCATGTGGCATTCTCACTTCCTTTGTCCCAAGGCCCAGAGAGGTCCACCTGTTCCTGAGGTCACACAGCCAATAAAGCAGCCAAGCCAGGATTTGAACCCAGGGCTGGCTGAATTCCCTCAGAAATGAGCTGCACAGACAGAGCCCAAGAGATGGGTTCAGAGGAGGAGAAAGATCACAGAGGGATCCAGGCCAGCCTCCACCCCCATTCTGCTTTTTCCCTTCGTGCTCAGCCTCACAAAGCCCTAGAAGCCCAGGGTTGCTGCCACCCCCACCTGCTTCCCGAAACAAATTAGCATCTCATCAGAAAGGCCTTTAATCTTCTGGCCCTTTCTTCCCCAGAGGCCAAGTGGTGATATTTCTGCCACCCAGCAGCTGATCTAAATAAGTCAGAGACCTCTGAGGTGCTCTGTGGCAAAGGGGGTAGAGGGCAGACCCCTTTCAACTGCTTCTCAGGCTGGTGGAGGGAGAGGATCCGGAGTATCTACCCATTCTTTAGCTCATTCAGCAAATATTTATTACATACCTTCTCTGTGCCAGGCCTGGAGGTACAGCCCTGAGCAAAACAAAGCCTGCAAGGTGCTGACATGCTGGAGGGGAGGTGCAGAGAATAAATGGCAAATATAACCAATAAGCAAATGGTACAGTGGGTTAGAAGGTGAAACAGGTGAGGAATAAATAGGGCAGGTTGAGCTGTCTGAGTGCAGAGGGAGATGCTGCCGATTATAAAGGGGGGTGGTCTCCCCAGAAGGGTCCCTGGGTGGCACAATATGGGCTCCACTACTACTCTAAAGGTTGGCAGTTAGAACCCACTCAGCGGCATCACAGAAGAAAGACCTGGTGATCTGCTTCTGTAAAGATTACAGCCAAGAAAACCCTATGAAGCTGTTATACTCTGTAACACATGGGGTCACCAGGAGTCAGAATCGACTCAACGGCAACAGGTTTGGGTTTTTTTCTTTTTTTTTTTT